ACACACACACACACACACACATCCCATATTGCGTGCTGCATGGTGCCGAACTCCTGCTAGAAGAGTCGCCGTCGTTGAAGTTTTCGACAGCTTGGGCCTGCTGACAGCTTAACTCCCTGGATTTATACTTCAGTCGAGGACATTCATATTAATTTTCTGATGCTCATCTGCAAAARTGCTTAAGCTAACAATAGCTGTGCCAGTCCCAGGCAGTAAATATTGGTTTGTGACGAARCAACAAGCAGACTCGCCTGTCTCACACTGTCTGAGCTCAAAGACACACGAACTGAAAATAAAGTTCTCAGAGTTGCATCAAGTTGTCTTTAAAAATAGGCACAACATAAATACTGTGTCAGGCACTGAATCCTCCTTTAAACTGTTGGAAAGTTCAAATAAATTAAAGAAGAAGTGATCTTCTGTCTTTTAAAGCTCTATCCTGCGGTGCAGCGGCAGCTACAATAACAGCTGAGCAGAAGAACATAATTAAATGGAAGTTAGAGACCCTCCGTTCATCTTCCTCGGTGATTTTTTTCTCATCRCTTTTGTTTCTCTGTGAAGCCGCAGCTGCTTTGACAAGCGTGAAGATGAGGAAGGACATTTCGCTAATGGATCAGAAGCGCAGAAAGTGTCCGTTCTGATCCGAGAGGTGCCAGGCAGACTCAAAGCCAGTTAGGAAAAACTCTCAGACCGGTAACGTGTCAGAGTAACCGTCTGCACGTTACAGATTACCTGATTCAAGTCACCGTTCGGCTCGTCGACGTGTTCRTATCGTCTGGTCCAGGAAGCCTGTTTAGGATGCAAAGGCTGTCCTGCTAAGAGCTGARTCTGAATCTGCAATCATACCTTTATGTTTTATGCAGTGATGTGCCTGCAAACAACATCRTTCAGTTTGGGCCAATCATCAACACTTGTTTAGTCAAATACAGCCTATTTACATTTAATCCTGCAGATCAGCTTCAGTTTAACAAACTTCCAGCAACAAACTCCAACCAATGCATTTTAGTGATCAATAAGTAGTGTTGTAGTCAAGACC